TGTGTATGTGTTTAGGATTGAGAGTAATGGAAGTGCAACCCTCCTTTGGGTGTATATGTTCGGGAATGTGTGTGCAAACATTGGTCCTATGGCTTTGTTGGTGTGCTTTACGGCCTGGTAAGCGGGAGAAGATAAGTCTTTCTTTTCCCGTGTGGGGACTCTTCACCAGGCCCCTTTCATCACTGTGCTTTTTTACAGAAAGCAAAACAAAAGATATGTCTTCCTCACCAAAAAAAGTACCCAGAAAGGTACTTAACCCCAGGTGTGCAGTTAATGCCCAGTACTTGAGATTTTATGTGCAAGGATCTATATAGAAGCAAGGGGAAGAGAATGGTTTCTGAAATGCCAAAATTTCAGTCGTGGGATTCTATGGCACACACTGTGAAAAACTGCCATAACATCTCCCTTTTCTCCCATTGTTTTTCTAATTTCCCAGTGGTTGTTTTTTCAGATTCTATAACCTAAAGCTTTATACATCCATCGCTTGACTCTTGATCTGGCTGTGATCGTGGGCAAGTTATTACATGTCTTTTGACCACAGTTTTCTTACCTTAAAAAGAAGATGCTGCCGAAACCAGTTTGGCTCAGTGGATAGAGCTTCGGCCTGCGGACTGAAAGGTCCCAGGTTCAATTCCGGCCATTGTTTTTCTAATTTCCCAGTGGTTGTTTTTTCAGATTCTATAACCTAAAGCTTTATACAGCCATCGCTTGACTCTTGATCTGGCTGTGATTGTGGGCAAGTTATTACATGTCTTTTGGCTTCAGTTTTCTTACCTTAAAAAGAAGATGCTAATGAGTATGTACCACATGGGGCTGGAATGAGAATTTAGTAAGATTTATGCATGTAGAACATGAGTTCAGTGCCTGGCACAAAAGTGCTCCATAGAGTCCAGCTATTTTTGTTATTAATATTGACTATTGATAGTTATATTACAATTTTTTTGAAGTCATGTATGGATTTATCATTTTCCGCGTAACGCTGTCCTCTTCAGCTGGGCTTTGCAAATGGATATGTGAATGAGAACATTTTGTTTTTACTCTCCTGGCCTCTTAGGAGTTCTTAAAGAGTGACCTTAAAAGCAACTGTAGTTAGCTACTTTATTTTTGATTCAGATGGGTGTTTTTTAAAACAAGCATTCCTGTTTTGATTGTTAGGTATAATAGTTTAGTGAAGATCTGAAGGAAAAAAAAATGTGGAAAAGCTTCTCCTGGAATTTCTTTTCCTTGATCCAATAAAATATTACTCGAATGAAACAGCTCCAGTTCCCTTGGCCTGTATTGACAGGGATGATTCTGGTGAACATTTGTTCCAGTTAAACTTGAGTTTTGCTCTGTTTTTTCAATGACAACCTGGCACTGAACTCTGAGCTCTTCTGTCAATGTTGCCATTAATTTTTTTCAGAATATGAATTTTATTAAAACATAATATGGAAGATACAAACTGTGGGAATATAATTTTAATTTAATGAAGTGGTTAAGGGTTGCTATGAGGTAGATGTTCCATGAAATGTTCGACATTAAGTGAGAATTCTCTGTGTTCTCTGTGCAGAAGATAGATGTACAAGAAACAGACTTTGTCCTCCAGAAAGTAACATAATGTGCTCTCGAAGGATTACATGCATTAGCAAAAGTGTTTTTCTCCCAATGGCTTGTGGGCCAAAGATTAAATGGACTGCACTCATGTCCTTTTCTCTCAATTTCTTGGAGAAGGCTAAATATATAGATCTCTTTTTAGTGGTCATCATTTTTAGGGGTATTAATTCTTTCAGGATTAAGCCCTAGCCACATAAGGAGATATTGGCTATAAAAGTACTTGGTGATTTGTAAAATGATATATAACTATAGGATAGGGTGATATTGTTGTACTTATAAAGTACCAGGAAACAATACAGCATGGTGGGTTAGACTATAACAGTTGTTCTTAAAGTAGAAGAGGAGTGATTTTGACCCCCCTCCCCCCATCGCCAGAGGACATTTGGCAATGTCTGAGACATTTTTGATTGTCATAACTGACATCTAATGGGTAGAGGCCAGAAGAGCTGCTAAGCATCTTATAATGTACAGGACAAACCTTCACAACAAAGAATTATCCAATCCCAATGTCAATAGTGCTGAGCAACCCTAGTCTAGAGCAGTGATGGCGAACCTATTGAGCTCGGCGTGTCAGCATTTTGAAAAACCCTAACTTAACTCTGGTGCCGTGTCACATATAGAAATTTTTTGATATTTGCAACCACAGTAAAACAAAGATTTATATTTTTGATATTTATTTTATATATTTAAATGCCATTTAACAAAGAAAAATCAACCAAAAAAATGAGTTCGCGTGTCACCTCTGACACACGTGTCATAGGTTCGCCATCACTGGTCTAGAGCATGGGATCTAGAGGTAGGGGTTAACCTGCATTAGCATCCTAGCACCACCAGTTGTTAAATGCACAACCCTAGGTGAGTACCTTAAACCTGTGTATCTATAAAATGCATGTCTGAAAAGATATCATGGAATTAAGTGAGATAATACATGGAAGGCACCCAGTAAATGGTCACTCTTAGTATTATTATGTTGGGTTAGTAAATCCAGGGACTATATGCCTCAAACAGACATGGCTTTGGGGTGTATTTTTTTATTATATTTTTATTGATTTCAGAGAAGAAGGGAGAGGGAGAGACAGAAACATCAATGATGAGAGAGAATCATTGATGACCTGTGTCCTGCACGCCCCACACTGGGGATCAAGCCTGCAAGCCGGGTTTATGCCCTGACCAGGAATTGAACCGTGACCTCCTGGTTCATAGGTAGATGCTCAACCATTGAGCCATGCTGGCTGGGCCATGTGTAAAGTTTATGTGTTTGTTTGTTCCCCCCACGTCCCACGTGGTTCAGGGTTCAGGATCTGGAAGAGGGGCCGCACACAAATGAAAGAGATGAGACAAGTAATAATTTGGAAATATTGGGGGGCCAGGAGGGCAAGTCCAACTCAAGGGGAAGGACTTCCCCTGGTGCTCAGGCCTCACCAACCTTTTATTGGTTTGGGATCCACCCATAGCATAGCCCTTAGGCAGGCAATTTCCAGTAACAGGCAGACTAGCCCATCAGCAAGGATTTACATAATAATAAATGGGGAAGTTGCTTCAGCTACCATTGTCTGGACTAACAGTGGGTGCCCAGCCCTGACCTTTGCCAGGGCTTCTAGGGTCACCAGCCTTCCGGGTTCCTTGTCCACACCTCGCTGCTAGTGAAGACAGTAGGTGGCTTCCCACAGGGCCATTTGTGTGTGTGTGTGTGTGTGTGTGTGTGTGTGTGTGTGTTTAACGAATTGTGTACAGAACCAATACAGGTTTCTTAATCCCATCTGTGTGTCCAAGAAAAGGGCAGGGACACAGACTCCTGGCCTCCACCATTCGTGGTACCTTCTGCATTCTGGCCCAGGTTCTGCCCTGGTTCTGTTAGGCAGCTCAGGGTAGGCTGCAGATCACTCCAACCAGGTGAACAGGACAGTCCCCAGACCTCTCTTCTGTATAGAAACGATGAACTGAGGATGGAGAGCTTTCTGTTTCATCTGGGCTACACCTAGAAGGAGACAGCCAGGCCATGAAGACCCTTCGACTGAGCTTATCTCCACGCTCTACTGAAACCCCCGTGTCTGCAAGGTCAGAGCAGGCAAGGAGGCCAGCAGTTTCCCTTTACTTTTCCTTAGCTCCTCCTACTCAAGCAAAAAGTTCTTGTAAGGCAGTGGTTCTCAACCTTCTGGCCCTTTAAATACAGTTCCTCATGTTGTGACCCAACCATAAAATTATTTTTGTTGCTACTTCATAACTGTAATGTTGCTACTGTTATAAATTGTAATGTAAATATCTGATATGCAGGATGGTCTTAGGCAACCCCTGTGAAAGGGTCGTTCGACCGCCAAAGGGGTCGCGACCCACAGGTTGAGAACCGCTGTTGTAAGGGGTCCCTTCACTCTTAGCAATATCCTCCTAATCCATTCCAGATTTTGCTCTGCATGGAGTCACCCAGCCATCTGGGAGGAGACAGGAGGCCTCCCAAAAAGCCCAGGCTCCACTTTGATCTTTATTCCTTTCTGGGTTTCCTGGAGCACACTGAAGCCACAGGAGTAAGCGATCCGCTCACAGGCACCAGCAGACCTTCAGCTGGGTGGGGGTGGGGTGACATCCCGGTGCTGAGTGTTAGCAGACAGGGATGTAAATAATTCATCCAGTGGTGTTTTAGCTGGGAGCTAGATTGAAGCCATTAGTTCTGTGGGGCTTAGTTCTGGCTGCACAATAATAGAGCCACCTGGGGCTAAGAATTGCTCAATCCTCATTCCAAGCCATTGATTCTGAATCTTGGTGGGTAGGACCCAGGGAATCAGATTTTTAAAATGCTCCTCAGATGACTCTGATGCCCAGTAAGAGTTGAGGGTCAGGACTATGCCTGGTGAAACGAATGACCTACATTAAAAAAAAAAAAAGGAACAGAACCAAATTAAAAATATCAAAGTAACAATTTTATTTTGTTAAGCTTTCATTTTAGTGATCAATGTATGCCTGTTTGCAATGTAAAATATATTTCTTGTAATGGGTTCTAGTAAAAAAAAAAAGTTGGAAAACCATTGTTTTAGAGCAGAGGTTCTCAACCTGTGTGTTGCGACCCCTTTGGGGGTCGAACGACCCTTTCACAGGGGTCGCCTAAATACATCCTGCATATCAGATATTTACATTACGATTCATAACAGTAGCAAAATTACAGTTATGAAGTAGCAATGAAAATAATTTTATGGTTGGGGGTCACCACAACATGAGGAACTGTATTAAGGGGTCTCGGCATTAGGAAGGTTGAGAACCACTGTTTTAGAGCCTTAAAGGTATTTAATGAATATTGACAAATTTACCTCTTGCAATATTTCTGTGCAAGGATCTGCAGTACGACTTTTGCAACTATCCTAGGAGGCATAGAGAGGAGGTATCATTATACTGGTTTTTTGTTTTGTTTTGTTTTGTTTTTTACAGATGAAGGGACCTTGGAGTTGGAGAGGGTATAAAATTTGTCAAAGTCATAATGAGAAAATGGCAAAAACAAAGACGCAAACCCAGGGCTTCAGATTACTGCCACCAGGCTCTGTCAATGACATCTTTCTCTCTCTTCTTATTTAGCAGAGCCTGTGTAAAGGAACTGTGATAGAGCATGAATCTGGCCTCAACAAATAATTACCAATGGACCATTTACTAGTGTCAGGTAATCCTATATAATAAAAGGGTAATATGCAAATTGACCCTAACGGCAGAAAGACCAGTCGCTATGATGCACACTGACCACCAGGGGTCAGATGCTCAACGCAGGAGCTGCCCCCTGGTGGTCAGTGCACTTCCACAGGGGAAGCTCCACTCAGCCACAAGCCAGGCCCAGAGGCGGTGGCGGGAGCCTCTCCTGCCTCCTCAGCAGTGCTAAGGATGTCGGACGGGGAGTGGGCCTAAGCCATCAGTTGGACATCCCCTGAGGGCTCCCGGGCTGCCAGAGGGATGTGTGACTGCCAGCTTAGGCCCGATCCCCTGGGGAGCGGGCCTAAGCCAGCAGGTAGACATCCCCCGAGGGGCCCAGGACTGCGAGAGGGTGTAGGCCGGGCTGAGGGTCCCCTCCCCAAGTGCACAAATTTTCATGCACCAGGCCTCTAGTCTATATATATAAAAGGCTAATATGCTAAGTGTCTGACTGGTTGCTATAATGCGCACTGACCACCAGGGGGCAGACGCTCAACGCAGGAGCTGCTGTGATGTGCACAGAGAAACGTCACCACGGACCTGGTGCCCACAAAGCAACACTTGGCTTACCCCAAGTGGGACACAGGCCCTGCCACCACCCTGGAGTGACACCCCACCAAATCGCAGCCAACGCTGCTGAGACCCCATGGCACAAAATGTGGCCCACAGCCCAACCCAGCCCGGAAATGGTCGCTGTGGGCACTAGGTAATGACATCATGTACCAACACCCAGCTTCCTCTCCCTAGCGACGGCTAGCCTCCTTGCAGTTTCTTCAGCCCAGGAACACGACTTGCTTTATAGCCAGGTGCAAGCATTTCACACTTTAACCAAATGTCTGAAGTGTTTTAACCATGCCTCATCTCATTTGATCCTCACAGAAGTCCTGGAGTAGTTAGATAGGAGACTTGGTGGAATCCTATTTTCTTTTCATTAGCCAAAAAATGGAGATTTAGAAACTTGACCTGACTGAAAGAAGTAAGAAATGGTGGACCTTGGAAATGACTTCAGGTTTTCTCACTGCGTAGAATATAGTCAAACATTGCTGCAGTTAAATATTTTACCCTTTGTTCTCCCTGCGTGATCTACAATAATAATCTGCTTAGTGTTGATATGGTTATGCTTATATGCATACATACAAGTCCTTCGGTTGATCTCTTACCCCCTTCCCTCCTGCCCCCCAACCCTCCCCTGCCTTCTGAAAGCAGGTCTAATTAAGCAAGTTTATTCTATATCTATAAAACACTAAATTGGCTTATGCATGCGCGATACATATAAAGCTCTCAGTGGCGCCAATCGCACGTGCGTGTTTTGATCTGTCATTGTTGATTGTAAATTTGGTTGACACTTCTATTATATAGAAAGGACAAGTAGCGATATTAAAATATTTCTTCTAATTAATTTCCTTTCAATGTGCATGAATCCGTGCACCAGGCCACTAGTATATTAATATTACTTCATTTAATTCTCAGAACAACTCAAGGAGATTACTCCTATTAGCCCCCTTTGGCAGATGAGGAAACTGAGGGACAGAGGAGTTGTGACTCGCCCAAGGAGCAGAGTTCTTACAGCAAGGTCACATTCTTTATTTGTGTCCTTTGTTCCCTCAGTACTAGCTTGTTGACATTTCTCCAGATTCTAGACTCTTGTCTCTAGGGACAGTTTAAATATCAGGGAAATGTCCCTATATCTTAGCTCAGGCTGCCATAACAAAATACCACAGACTAGATGCCTTCAACGACAGAAATTTATTTCTCACAGTTTTGGAGGTTTGGAAATGCAAGATAAAAGTGCCAGTAAGTTTAAGTACTGTGAGGGTCCTCTTCCTAGTTTGCAGATGGCCACCTTTTTTTTTTTCTTTTCTTTAAAAAAAATTATTGAGTGATTTAGAGAGAGAGAGAGAGAGAGAGAGAGAGAGAAGGGAGGGAGAGAGAGAGAAACCGATTTCTTGTTCTACTTATTTATGCATTTATTGGTTGTTTCTTATATGTGCCCTGATCAGGGATCAAACCTTCAACCTTGGTGTATCAGGTTGACTCTAACTACTGAGCTATCTGGGCAGGGTCAATGGCCATCTTCTTGCTGTGTCCTCACGTGGCAGTGAGCGAGACAGAGAGACATACAGCAAGCACTGGGTGAATGCCCTAGAGAGCAAGAGTTAGCTCTCAGTCCCTTTTTCCTACTTACTCCCATCCTGGGACCCCACTCTAAGGATCTCATCGAAACCTAATTACTTCCCAAAGGCCCCAGATTCAAATACCATCACATTGGGGATTATGGCTTCAACATAAGCATTGGAGATGGTAGAGGTGCAAACATTCAGTTCATAACACCCTAGTACCTATAGCTTCCACTCACCTTTCCTTGTGTGTGTGGCTGAAAATCCCCTCCCAAACCACCCAGTGATTAAGGCAGGAAAGCCCTCTCTGTTGTATAGAACTACTCTATGGAAACTTGCTCAGGCTATTTGTGATACTTAATGGCATGAATTACTGAAATTCATGGTGTGGCTTGGGTAGTCCTGGCTGAGGAGGAACCTGAACACTAAACTGTGTGGAGTGAGATTTTGATCAGTGGTCTGGGAACCAAAGGATATCTTGTTCATTCGATCATTTATTTATTCATTCATTCATTCATCCATCCATTCATCAAATATTAAGGGCCAGGGTCTATGCTATACATTGGGGATAGAATGATGGGCTAAAATGCTGTCCCTAACCTTATGGAGGTTATAGTTTACAGGTAAGTTTTAGATGTAACCCTCCAATTCAAAGATAGGTAGAGAAAGTATTTATCATGGCTTTTAAATTCTTGTGCACATGGCCAAAGTAAAGCTCTGGCCACATATCGATAGGGAGGACACTGGTTGGTTTCCTACTCAGAAAGTTAGAGAGAAAGAGTTAGACTTCACATTATCACACATGGTGTTTAGAAACCACAATTCCCCAAAGGTGGGGAACTGTTCTCTGCTGTAATAAGTCACCTGGATTGGATGATTAGGCTGACTTAAGCCTTAGATAACTAATATCTGTCCCTATTTTCTTTTCTTTCTTTTTTTTTAACTGTCCCTATTTTCTTATGTGAGGAGGATTCAATAGTATATCAGAGTGCAACTTGTCAAATGAGTGGATTAATAATAATGATTATAATAATTATGAATGTTGGTATATAATAGCGATAATGGGGAACACCAAGATTTCGAGATGAGCACACCCAGAGAAGAACCAAGGCGAGCTCTCCCCCTTTTCCAGGCTGAGCCGGTTCCTGACTGTAACCAGTCTCCAGTTCCTAGGACTGTAAGCATGTGAAGATCAGAGGTAGGGTTATTGGTTTAAGAGATTTTTGTTGGTCTTGAGAAAACAGATAGCATTAAGGGCAATGACATTTATCCTTCTAGGGTGAGATAGGCCAAGATTAAGAAGAGCCAAAGAACTTATATGCATATATGCATAGCCCATGGATACAGAAATAGTGTGGCGAAGGCTGGGGTGGGGCGGGAGCCAAGAGGACGGCAAAGGGGGGGAAAGGGGGACATCTGTAATACTCTCAACAATAAAAATAAATTTAAAAAGGTAAAAAATAATTAAGAAAGAAGAAAAAATAAAGAATTTGTTGCTTTTCATTAGTAGCTTGAAACTCGACTTGCCCTATGGTAGCACCTGCTCTTTGGAGTCTAAGAGAATTCCCAAGGTCCACAGTCAGGAAACTGGAAGAAGTCTACACTTACCCACATCAGTTCAAGATGGAATAAAAATACACTTGCTCTGTGGAATCTTGCCTGTAGAACATCCTTACATGAGAAATAAAACTTTTTGCTGGTGAAAACTATTATCTCATTTTCATTTTAGGCTTATTCTAAAGAGAATTGGTAAAGTTGTATAAAATATAGAAGGAAAGGGAAGATGATGTAAAATCAGAATTGGAGTGTAATGGCTCTTGAATTAGAAAATTTCTATTCTCCGTGGTATATTTAACTCTGGTCCACAGAATTCATTCCAGGAGTCCTATCTTAGCTTTTCTATTTCTGCACTTAAGCAAGATAAAAGGCGTTGATATTATTCTCTTGGGTTGCCAGGAATCCTGAGCACTTTAGAAGGTGGAATTAGTCAGTTTCATGCCTGGCTAATGCTGAGGTTGGACTTGGCTGCAGCACTCGAATGTCACCCAGACAAGCAGATTCAGGTAAAGCTCCAAAAATGTCATTGGTGAAATTAGATTATTTTTAAAAAATCATGTGTTGAATAATAAAATGTTTTCTATTGATTTGAAAAATATATGTCTATTTATACAATGCCAACAAAAGTAATTTTGTTATGTAAAAAAATACAATACAATAAAATAAAATAAAAACACCCCCAAATGACAACCTAAAAAAAAAAAGACATTGAAACTGGACAGCATTTCAGGCAGTTGGAAACTGATTTATCAAATCTCAGTTTTGTGCAGAGGTTCAGGTTAGTTCATAAAGTGCTATAAATATTTCTTGGATCACATGGATCTCTCTCTCTTCAAAACATCCTGCATGATGACTAAAGTCTTTGCTAATGGAGTTCTGGCTTTATTGTTTACACCTGTCTTATCCATTGATCCTCTCAACAATATACAGAAGACATGCAGCAAGTGTTTCACAATAGAAATAAGAATGGCCTTCCGGGTGGTGTGGCTCAGTCATTGAGTGCTGACCCAAGAACCGAGAGGTCACTGATTCAATTCCTTGTCACGGCACATGCCTGGGTTTCTGGCTCCGTCCGCAGCATACAGGAGGCAGCCCATCGATGATTTTTCTCTGTCATCGATGTTTCTATCTCGCTATCCTTCCCCCTTCCACTTTCTCTAAAAAATCAATAAAAACACATTAAAAAAAGAAGAAAAAGAATGGCCTGGCTACAATTGAATTTGGCCATATTTTTCTCATAACTTTTTTTAAAATAATTTTTAAATTATAAAAGATACTATAACACATCATTTATGGAAGGAGA